GAATATTATAGTGAGGAAAAAGAAATGGTGATCCAAAAGCAACATGGGGAGTCATGAAAAGTGTCTTTAAAAAGCACAAGGTACAATCGGGGATATCACAATACTTTGTAAAAGAAAATAAGGCACTTTATGATCAAAGTGAAATAGCAAAATAATTCAATCATTATTATATGAATGTTGGTCCAAGTCTTGCTGCTCAAATACCAAAAGTTGATGACATAACTGAAACAATGGTTGTGCAAACAGCATCTTTCTTAGTGAAACTGATGAAGAAGAGATAATGAGTACTGTAGAAAAATGTTGGATAAGAGGTTAAGAGATTGGGTGAACATGGATATGATGTTTGTTAAGGAAATAATGCCCTATGTTGTTAAGCCCTTTACATATACATGTAATTTATCATTTTCAACAGGAACATTTCCTAACAATATGAAAATAGCCAAGCTAATTCCTATTTATAAAAATGGTGAGAAATATATGTTTAGTAATTATAGACCAATATCCTTATTACCACAATTCTCAAAAATCTTGGAGAAGCTTTTTGTGATCAGATTAGATCAATTCATCATTAAAAATAACATCGTAAGTAGCAGTCAGTATGGTTTTAGAGCCAATTACTCTACTTCAATGGCTCTCATGGAACTGACAGAACATATAACAAATGCTATTGACAAAAAACAATATTGAGCCTGCAGTATTTATGCAGATTTTAGAAAGCATTCGACACGATTGACCATAGCATTCTCCTTGGAAAACTGAACAAACATGGGATTAGAGGACCAGCATTGCAGTGGGTGGATATCTAGTCATTTGGAAAATAGGAAGCAGTTTGTACAAGTACATGATGTAAGACCTGAACTCTGTGAAATCACATGTGGAGTTCCTCAGGATCCTGTACTTGGACCAAAATTGTTTATCCTATATGTAAATGATTTGGTCAGTGCGTCAGGATTATTTAAATGCATTTTGTTCGCTGACGACACACACACACACACACACACACACACACACACACACACACACACACACACACACACACACACACACACACACACACACACACACACACACACTTATTTATTTATTTATTTATTTATTGGGTAAAGATCTAGAATGAATGTTAGAGCAAATGCAAGAAGAATTTGTGAAAATACAAAACTGGTTTCAACACAACAAATTACCATTCAACTTGGACAGAACTAATTATATGATATTTACAATTTACAATTATTTTATTTACAATTTACAATTATTGCACACACACACACACACACTTATTTATTTATTTATTTATTTATTGGGTAAAGATCTAGAATGAATGTTAGAGCAAATGCAAGAAGAATTTGTGAAAATACAAAACTGGTTTCAACACAACAAATTACCATTAAACTTGGACAGAACTAATTATAAGATATTTACAATTTACAATTATTTTATTTACAATTTACAATTATTGCACACTTTCTGTAAATCATATCTTCATTTCACTTCTCAAATATCACTGTTTGTCCCCTATATGAGATATTTAACTGATATTTTTACTCCAAATAATCAATGGTAAATGAGGTAAATCAATGGTAAAGGTAAATAAATGGTAAAGGTAAATAAATGGTAGAGGTAAATCAGGAAAGTTAACAAGGGTGCCCAAGATTTTTCATATGACTCTATTTTTAAAGTTCTTTTTTCCCCACAGGTGTAATAATTCTGTCTGTAATATTGTCATCAATTTAGACTTTAGGTTTTAACAGTTTCTATTTTGCGTTAGGCTTACAAAAAATACTTTACATAACTTAGAGCATGAGCAAACAGACAATGTAAACATATCCAGCATTTACTAAATAAATATATTTTACAGTCTCCACGGGTTCGTGTTTATTCCTAATTTATTTACTCCCAGAGTTCAGTCAAGTTTAAACAGTCGGCCTACTTTTTCTTCCCTCAAATCCTCCGCTCAGATAGTCTCCTCTCACGTTTTGAAGGCTGTGCCAAATGCGCAAACCCTCTCCTCCTCCTCCTCCTTCATGGTGGTGGGACAGGTCTTCTCCGACCGATCATGCGGCTGAACGCGCGCGTCATGCCGCTTCCTCCTCCTCTACCTCTGCGAGCGATCAGTGGCTCTGTGTTCCGCAATCCCCTGGGATCCTGTGCCGCCCTCGATGGCTCTGCCATCGCCGCTTCTCTCTCACTTGAATGGCCGCCCGGAGCGAGGAGGAGGAAAACTGGGGAGGCTGAGAGTGTTGTGTCACCTCCTTTGAACCAAACCAAAAAGAAAGAAAGAAAAAAAGAAGAGAAAAGATAGATAATCTCGGCACCATCAGCTCCCCCCCAGCGAGGCGGTGAGTGCCTTTATTTTTGCCCGGTATGTGTGTGTGTTTGTTGGGTGAAGAGGGAGGGGGCGGGGGGTGTCCTATCGGGGTACACCGGCGCCGGAAGAAGATTGTTGGTGGTGGCGGGGGGGGGTCGGTTTTTCTGATATTAAAACTTTGAACCCAAACTTTCTCCAGACAAAGGTTTAATGAGCACCTTTCAGTGCGAGACGTTTTAAGTAAGTCCCATTTAAAGGTACAGGAAAACGTGCGATAAAATCATAAAAGGTTGTTTTTTTTTTTTTTTTTTTTTTTTTGGTTGGGGGGAGCACACACAACACCGGTTGCAAAGAAAGAATTGTGCCTTGTTATGCTCCCCTCCTTCCACCACCCCCTCTCCGTGCCGCACTGGTTCGGTCTGGCTCGCCCCTCAGCTGCTGCATGTCCTGGGATGACCTGTTGATGTCGGCGGAATGGAGGATGCCAGGGGTTAGCCATGGCCCCCGCCGCCGAAATATTTAAATAAGACAGGGGGGTCGGGGTGCTCGACGAGCGGCGACCGCACAGCACGACCACCTCGTCCGCTCGGGCAGTAAGTGTTTCATTTCATGTTCTGACGCGGAAATGTTTTTGCCTCTCGTCCTGCGGCTCCGGAGGGATGAGCGAGGTGGATGGCGAAGCCGAAATATGTGACTGTACTGTTAGCTTAGCCGCGTTAGCCACCTCCTGCAAGGCCTGCTGCGGATGAAACGTTTAGGCGCTTTCAGCCACGATGGGAAAACAGARTAAAGTCGGCCCACCTGAACACTATTTCACGTTTATATAAACAGAATGACACAGACTGGCGTCTCCTTGGTGGTCTGCCATYATAAGTTTATCTTGCAGCTAAACTGCCGCCTCTCTTCCATCCATTTATTCATTAGATACTTAACTTTCCCACATCATTCCTTCGACTTTAAACATCTCAGGAAGAGGCTCAAACGTGTGTGAAAATGCATACATTTTTAATGGAAATGTCTAGAATGAACGTGCTGCTTTGATATGACTAATCAGAAATCAGACCTGCAGCTGTCTTGACTTGAGAGGAGCTGCACWGGTATGCAGGCAGAAAATATGAATAGACTGTCAGGTGTAATAGTGGCTTAATCATTAATAAAGCAAAATGCAAAACTGCATTTGTACGGCACAACTAGACTAACAAGAAAGTCTTGAAATATGTCAAAAGCTTTTTCATCACAGAGTAACATAACATTTTTTTTTWAAATATGAAAATCGATTAATGCTTCACCTACTTTTCTCTCCAGGCTGCAAACTATCACTGCAGACTATTTGTTAATGTATTCTGTAGTTTTAAAACATGATCCCTCTGATCTCTGCTGCCCCTCCTTAGAGCATATACAGACACACATAACGGCAAACGCACACACACAGTCACATTCTCTGTGACTGTCAGGACAAACTGTGCAAACACACCCTGCTCTCAGCCTCAGTGTTTGTGTGTCTTCATGTGCACGCATGTGTGCTCACCGCGGCTCGCCAAACTGTAAACAAGCAGTATTGTCTAATGGCTGTGTGTGTGTGTGTGTGTGTGAGTCAGTGTGCCTTTTGTGGGTTTGTTTGAGTTTGTGTGTGTGTGTGAGCATCTGTGTTTTAGTATGAGGGAGAGGGAGCTTGAGTGAGACAGAGACAAAGCAAGCATTTCTCTTTTACCCTGGAGCTTGGCTAGGTCCCAAATGAAAGGCTTTGGATATGATGGGGCGGCTCACTCCAGGGCCTCCATCAGTCTGTCGCACCAAAATTGGTTGTGTACCTCTCGCAGGGTGGGCTTCAGTCACTTTATCCCCTCAGTAACGTAGTTATCTTGTGTTTATTTGTCTCTCCGTGTGTGTATGAGAGCAGCATGTAGTCATAGGAGGTCAAGAATGTCTGGTGAAAGTTATACACACTTCAGTAGAGTTTGCCTTTGTCTTACAGAGTCTGTGTATATTTGAAGTGCTGAAATTGCCAGTTCTGTTTATAGACTATAGTCGTAGATAAAGGGAAAAGCACATAAATTGAGAATGTAGAATATGCGTTGCCAGGTAGAACATAAGTAGAAATAACTACATCAAAGTAYAGTAGGAGAGCTGGTCACTTTGTCTCCTTTACCAATTTGTACCTGAGTGGTTTTGTTTTTTTTTTCAAACCCAGATTTGGACCAGTTATGTTTTCTGGTCAGAATTTGGGAATAATTATGTCCTAGGACAATAGTCAAGGGGGATAACTTAAAGAATAATTAGAAATKAAGAAAAAGTGTGGTGAGGATCTCAAGTTCTAGCATTTATTTTATGATTGGCTGRTAGGGCTGGGCGATAAAACAARAACAAAATRTATTGCARTAAATATGGGATCAATATCATTAGAAAATATGTCTGGTAGAATGTTGATAATTTCACTACACTCATCCAGAATCACACAGCRTTCTGGGGGGATGCAGGCAGAGGAAAGGATTTAGCCGCTCGATCTCTCACAGTCCAGTCAAGCATGGTTGGTGGCATCGACTGACTAACTCACTCACTCTTTGGTAAGCTAGCAACAAGCTGTTGAGTAACATACACAGTAGCAGTTTTGTGTTTCACCACTGTGTTCATAACTGCTTAAAAAAAGAACGAAAAGAGAGAATGRGTGCAACAGCTYGAGAGGAAAAACTGGATAAAAGAGGAAAGGTCACGTCACCAGTTTGGCAGGATTAATCAGCATTTTTTTTATTCTGTTCTATTTCAAATAGTTAAAACAAAAAACTAATTATTAGGGGTGTAAGAAAATATTGATACCCTTTCCAGATACCGTATCGATTCTCAAAAGCACCGTTGATTAGGGCTGCACAATATATCACAAAAATATCATCATCGCAATATCAGTGTGTGCAATATTCATATCGCAAAGGATGGTTTGGAATGCARTAATTGTTGACTAATGTATTTCAAGAGTTTAGAGGTTGTATTTTTCATGCTTAAGCAATATTTAGACAGTAGGACAGAGTCTCACAGCAGCGAAAGCTAACACCACACATTAATGACATTGACAAAAATGGTAAAGGTCCCATAGAGTAGGAAGTACTGCTTACAAAGCGAGGAAAGAAAAAAAGACAAATCGCATCAGATACTGTCATCGCAATAATTACAAATATTATCGCCATCACAAGATTTTCTTATATCTGATATTTATTCATGTATAATACTAGAAATTTAACCCTAAAATCATCCGGGGGGTAGTATTATACATGGGTTATTTATAATTAGATTTTTAATGCTTTTTAAGCTCAAATAACGATGATCATATTATACTCGAAATCGTATTATACATGAATAAATATGGTAGTTAAAATTAGGTTTAGGGTTCATACAGTAAGGGAGTACCTTTTAGTCAGTGTAAATCTAGTGTAAACAAAAGCACAAGTGGTTTTTAAACTAGTATTCATGGATGCTTTATTTTCATTTGCATCACATGTTAAACATGGGCTGAAATAACATTGCATTCTCACGGTCCCGGTTAAACTCAAAGAACAATATATAAGAGTCAATATAGAATGTAAATGAAAGCAAGTAAAATAACGCAGTACTAATAAAAACAAAATTGACAAAATGGAACACATACAGCGCTAACTGCAAAGTGGCTGAAGAGTCATGGAAGGACCCAGAGTCATTCATTAAATGTGGTGTGAGTTTCACATGGTAATATACAAGAATTTCCCACGTTAAACAAGTTTCACAATTATATTTCCATGTGCTAAACACACATTACATCACATGCATTTTCATGTGCTTTTTAATATAAGAGATCGGATATGTACAAGAAAATTTCTTTTTTTTTCCAACCGTATAAAGCAATAGTTTAATCAGTCCTCATTTTGACAAATGAAGGTACGCTTTTATCTAGAACGCATATTGTTGGATACAAGTGAAGGCACAGACCATGTGCGATTGTTTGCCTTCAACTGTAGATTGAGGTGAATTGTAACATGCAATGTGGTTTTTATTTAGAGACCACACACACACTTTTGCACGTAAAATAAAAGAACATGACCCAGTTATTTAAGGACAGCACAAAACATAAAAAATAAAGGCTTTTCCTGAGCTTATCCTTGAAACTACAACTCATGCAAAGCTGAAGTTTTAGGTAGGATTAATATGATGCAGATTATCAATGGAAGTTTCAGTAAAAGCTGCCAACCTTCCTGCTTTCTATTAAGAGAAATCTTCTTAACGCAAAGAGTTAATAGGTTGTTATAATGGGTCAGAGTTAGCAGTAGTAACATGTACTATACATAATGAYTTTTATCAAACTGGCTGTATGTTTAGAAGTTGAATTTGGCCTGCTTTATTGTCTGTTTTCTCTGAAGTCTGTCTTCAGCTCTGTCTTTACCACAGCTTTGCCACATTGCTCCTCCTCCCCCACACACTGTCCTCTGAAACTCTCCTTGCACCAAAGAGACAGTACAAGAACAGTTTTTGTCATTGCTGCCTGTCTATCTGTCCAAGTTCTCCCACCGTGTGGCCTCTGTCCCACTCATAAAGCTGCAGAAGCCATGAATCAAAGTGTTAACCCGTCCAGCTGCTCCGCAGGTATCAGTGTGAAAAATGTCAAAGCCAGCCCTGTAGTTCTCAAGATTTACTGATGTTTGAAAAGTCTTGCCCTAAAAAAAATTGACCCAGCAGCACAAACATTTCCTCCTCTCATCCTGTTATATTCGTTAAAAGGTTAGCAACAGACCTGGATTCACTTCCTCTCTGTTTGTCTTTCTGCTTTTTCTTTCTTAGCAAAACCCTTTGGTGGTGTGCGTAGGCGCACCATGGCCCAGACCCTCCAGATGGCGATCCCAAACTTTGGCAACAACATTTTAGAGTGTCTGAACGAGCAGCGGCTGCAAGGCCTCTACTGCGACGTCTCCGTTGTGGTCAAGGGCCACACCTTTAAGGTATAAATTTAATAATTGTGAATTTAACTAAAAAAAAAACATTAGGATTTGAGGGTATTCAGATCAGTTTGTGCCTCTGTGGCATTAGGTGTCATTAAGGGTTAAAACTTTGTTCTTGGACAGAGATTCTGAGTAAGGGTTCATCGATAAATTGGCTCCAATTTATTGGCACTGATTTCTCAAATTTTGGGAAATTGGGGATTGGCTGATACTTAGATAAGATCAGTGGAAAATACTGGCTTCTCATCTACCTCCACAAAGGTCTGAAAATCAGCCACTGTCCTCTTTTGCTCTGCTGTGAGCACTACCTAAGGTCCAGTTCAAACAACTTCGTATTGATTCAAGGGTATTATTCAGTGTTTTTCAAAAAAATAAGATTGGAACATTGAAGTTGTATTGTGACCTGATAGTGTCAGTTTTTTAAAAAATCGGTATCAGCCAAAATCRGAATCAGCAGGTCAGACTTTTTAAAGATTGGTGATCGGCCAGAAAACTGCATTTGGTGCACCCCTAGTGCTGACATTCAAATGGATGGTGTTATATAAGGATATCTTATCAAAATAGGTTTTTACTTTTCTCTACTGTTATGTTATTAAAATCCAGATGAAATAAACTGATTACTTGGATTATTGGAGTACACCATAAAAATACAGTTTTATTGATCAAACAATATTTAAAACCTCAACAAAATCACAGAACCTAGTTTTATGTTTTATTTTRATATTAAATTTAAGTTTTGATGAGTTTTTTTTTTTCTTGGAGTTGTTTCTCAGAAAGATGACATCATTCAGGTTTATTGGAAGTGTTGATGTTATGTCAACGGCATCTGGTTTCTTGGCAAAAACTGTCCTCTAAGACAAATTTAAAACTCCAAGAATTTGATTTTCCTCAAAGGGTTATTTATTTATATTTTTAAAATAAAAAGACAGATGCTGCAGGCAAATTTTGTGAACCAAAACACAGTTTCTGCATCAGGTAAGTTTATTAAAGACATGATTTCAGTTACAGTTCTATCTGCTGTATATAGTTTTTAGGGACTGACCTTTTTTGTCCTTCCCTGTCGCTATGCTTGTTTTATATAAGCACACATGTGCTGTCATGGTCAGGTACAAGAACTGAACTGCAGAAAATTCAGCCAAAGTCCAGAAGATTGCAAAAAGGTCTGTCTCCTTGGAAGCAGAGCAGAAAGAATTTAGGGATGCTTTAAAACGTTTTGTGGAGAGCTGCACTGGTTTCAGTAAATCAAAAAGGCCTAAAATTTTGCATTTAATATTCTAATTCTAAAAAGCTCCAATGTAAAACCTTTTCTTCCCTTTTCTGTTGCCTCAGGCTCATCGAGCTGTTCTGGCTGCCAGCAGCTCGTATTTCCGGGACCTTTTCAGCAGTGGCGGCGGCAATGGTTCAGGGGGTAATGGCAACGAGACGAACCCCACCGTAGTCGAGCTCCCACCGGCTGTGCAGCCTCAGAGCTTCCAGCAGATTCTGGCTTTCTGCTACACAGGTCGCCTCAGCATGACAGTGGGAGACCAATTTCTCCTCATGTACACTGCCGGCTTCCTTCAGATCCAACAGATCATGGAAAAAGGCACTGAGTTTTTCCTCAAGGTAGGACTTTTTAGTTGAAAATAACTTGTCAAAGCTGTGAGGYAAAAGTAAAGGCAAAGCTGGAATACAGAATGGAAACAGTGTAATAAAAATTAGCTCCAGCCCAACATCTTCCATAGTAGGAGTTAAGTTCAACTAATCAAATGTAGATAGTTAGATAAATATCATCAAGTGTGAGTACCTTTTAAAAAGTGAAGTTTTGGGAAGTTGTATAGACTATAACATTCACAAGTACCAGACTATAAATAAAAAATKAGTTGATTATTTTCCTACTTRGTTTTTCTGTAGCTAAAAAAAGAARTAGAACATCCCAGAAACTTAAAGTTAATTTTTTAAGTTAAATGCTGATGTTCTCGTCAATATGGTTAATAAAAAATAACAAAAAGTACAAGTTTGAATCCAAACAAACAAAAAAATCTTTGTTGGTCAAATAAGACCAGAAGGAAAAGTTCAGCAATAACAGTTACACATTCCCTCTCTCAAAGAAATCCCTTACACATTTTTAGACTTTCTAACTTCTAAAAGTACCATCTGATTTTTATGTTACRTTACAAAAATTCTTATGACTTTTACTAAAATAACTTAAAGTCCAAAGCTTCAGAAAATAAACCAGACCACATAATTTCTTTATTAAAACTGTAGCCATGAATCCTAATAACTTTAATGTCTACATTATTTCTAGGTATCCTCCCCTAGTTGTGACTCCCAGGGTCTTCACACAGAGGAAACCCCACCATCGGAGCCTCAGAGCCCCGTAACACAGACGGGTAATGGCGCAGTCCGGCCTCCCTCCAGCCTGACTCCGTTACCACTTGTTTCACGAGTCAAAGCGGAGCAGCCGACCAACCAGACAGAAGCAGCCGCTCCTTATTCTGTAGTCTGTACCCCTGTAGCCAAGCGGCTGTGGGAGGGCGGCAGCAGCCGAGATGGAGGAGGCGGAGGCTCGGGCGGAGGAGGCGGGGCCAGGAAAGCAGCCCGGTACTCCCAAGAAACAGTACGAGGCAGTGCTATCCAAAGCCCCGGAGCCCTGGGGCTGGCCATGGGTATGAGTGCCAACACAACTAGCCTGGCCGGGATGGTKGGCGGTGGCGGGAGTAGCGGAAATGCCAGCACCAACGGGACGTCCGCAACAGGGCTCGGCATGTCAGAGGGTGCCAGCCCCGGGACCCTGAGCACCTACGCTAGCGACTCGCCCATCAGTTACCAYGATGATGAAGAGGAAGAAGAAGGGACAGATGAAAGTGCTGAAGAGCAGTACAGGCAAATCTGCAACATGTATACGATGTACAGTATGCTCAACATGGGAGCTGCAGGTAATTTAGAGTGTCTACAACTTTTCTTGTTCTGTCTGGTTGGTACACACATTGGCTTTGTCCAAAATCCGGGGCTGTGTCTTTCAAAGGACCCAGTCTATTTGGCCGGGTCTTTGGTCACCTGGGAAGATCGAAAGGAAGTGGCTGTGAATTTGGACAATCTAGCCTTCAGCTTTATTCTCACCCTTACCCTGACGTATGTCCTGACACCTAGCAACTGTGATGACGCCAAGCAGAAGCACTGAAGATCTAGCCTGGCCCTCGCCTTCCTATGCAGTTCCGCTCAATTATTGTTTCCCTTCTCTGCTCCCATAGACAAGGATTTCTTCGGGAGCATTTCATTCGGGCCAATCAGAGAACAGAACGTCGATTTTCTGCGCAGTGTCTGCTTGTAGTTTATTTCACCTGGGCCAATCAGCAAACAGAAGGCAGAGTTTGGAGTGACGTCGATTTTCTGCGCAGTGTCTGCTAGTTAGTTTAGCATACGGCAGTGAAGTGAATGAAGCCAGTCCATGTTGATACAACTTTCAAATTAAATTCGATTTGTCTGACAAAGCAGCAGCTCTCATTTACAGTAGTATTGTTCAGCTCGGTACTTCTCTCCTCTCAGTAGGGTTGTTTACAGYGCACACGATTTCTGGTTAGCTTTTTAGCTTAGCCTCCTTCACAGCGACATACGACGCGGCCAACCGATCCAATCATTTTAAACTTCAGCAGAGGCCACGCCTCCAGCAAGAATCACTTCTCTATAGCCGCGAGTCCAGACCCTCATACGAAGCAAAGTGAAGGACAAGGGTCTGGTTTTTATTAATATTATTAAATATAAATTAACCTAATTAGCTTATAGTCAATACTTACAGAACGGTGGGACCCGCTACACGAGTTGGTTCACGATGATTTCTGACCTGAATAATATTTTTARMAWSCATCCATCCATCCATCCATTTTCTTCCGCCTATCCGGGGTCGGGTCGCGGGGGCAGCAGCTTCAGAAGGGAGGCCCAGACCTCCCTCTCCCCAGCCACTTCTTCCAGCTCCTCCGGGGGAACTCCAAGGCGTTCCCAGGCCAGCCGAGAGACATAGTCCCTCCAGCGTGTCCTGGGTCTTCCTCGGGGCCTCCTCCCGGTGGGACGTGCCCGGAATACCTCACCAGGGAGGCGTCCAGGAGGCATCCTTACCAGATGCCCGACCCACCTCAATCCTGAACTCCTCCTCCTCTTAGTGGGATAAAYGCCAGCTTTCTGTGTCGCTGCCCTGAATTWAAAAAAAGCATGTCTATGCAAATGATGAGTCGAACAACACAACCGCTCTAAACTTTTAAATTTTATACCGCCAGATTTTTATTTAAAACTGTACTCCTGTTTCTCGCTTCGTCTGCTCGCAGTGCRTCTTGGGATATGGTGGGCTGAGACCCAGACCTGTCCCTCAAATCAGGGAAAAAGGAGGATGCATTTGTGGGCCGCAATTTGAGGAGCCTTTGAATTTGGACAGCTTTTGGCCTTCAAATTCGTCCTTYGAACGACGCAGCCCCTGAATTTGGACACAGTCGTCATGCTTTGAAGTCCGAAGTACCAAATGTCATGTATGTATGGATACAAGGTGTTTACCGTGTTTCCCCAGCTGCTGGCGAGCGGGTCGAGGCTCTACCAGACCACACAGAGACTCGGGGTCGGATGAGAGGCCGAGACCTTACCTGTCTCCCTGCAGAACTCATCGCTCAGATAGGCAACCGCTGTCATTCCAAACTGTACGAGGAGGGAGACCCTGCTGAGAAGCTGGAGTTAGTCTCAGGTATGTGAGCCGTTCAAATGATTGAAACCTGCTGCTTCTTAAAATGAAAGGGAATAGAAAACATATTGTAAAATGTAATTTTAAGATGAAGGAATGGCTAATGTTATCAATACCGTTGTTTTTAGTTATTTTATGATACTTATGGTAAATATTAAAATAATTAGCATAGGTTACTTGTAGGAAAAACAGGGATTTTTTATTCCATGTGGTGTTTGCATACTGTGTAGGTTTCCTCCAGGTGCTCCTCTTTCCAACCACAGTTCAGAGTCGTGTTTGTTTTAATGATAATTGTAAATGGAAAGTGTTTTCAGTTTGACTGGTTGTCTGTCTCTGATAAACATTGAACTCCTCCTCCTCTTAGTGGGATAAACGCCAGCTTTCTGTGTCRCTGCCCAGGATAATACAGAATGSACKGATTAAAAAACAATGCATTTTATTACACTTTATCTCTATATTTATTGCCTGCCACCAAAGGGTGAAGGCRGGATAATGTTTTTGCCTGTATATGTGCATGTGAGTCTGTGTTYGTGTGTGTCTGTCTGTCTGTTACTAAATTATCTCATAAACCTCTGGACAATTTTTTTAAGAAACTTACAAAAAATGTAATAATTTAATCACTGAATCAGGTGTGTCAGAGCAGGTAAAGAAGTAAAACATGCAGTATAGAGGCCCTCAAGCATCAAGACTGCCCACCCCTGGTCTAAATCCCCAGCATGCAAAGCAGCAGGAGATGTGTTCTCCTTCAACAAATGCTAGGCCTTTACGAATCGTTTCTGCTTCCATATCATCTTGGAATGTTCTAATCTTGTTTCAGTTCTGAAAACCATTTTCACTTTAACCACCTCCAAAGAAACGCTGACATGTAYGCACATACTTAACGACAGCACTGCAGGGATGACGGGGCTTGGCACTGAAGTGTAGGGTTGTGTTGCACCTGTGACTCGTTGGGGTTTATGTCAAAGACATCCTGTGGTAATCTCCGCGTTAGCTTCAGGCGTGGTCGCATTCTTTACTTTATAACGGAGTGTAAATGTGTGCGTTTAAATCGAGCATAAGGCAGGAATGTAGAAAGGGAGGGACGAAATCAGTGTGCAGAAAGACAGTTACTGTTCTGCTGTAAAAATATACAAGCTACAATAACCTGCTAACATCAGATAATAATGGTTCAAGTGCAAACTCCACTGCAACAATGTAAATGGAAACCATAGAGTAAGAGTATACTGTTGTTTAGTAGGAAAATTAATGTGTTGCTTGTTTGGATTTTTTTCTCTTGTTTAGTTATTTAATTAATTATTATTTTTATTTTTTTGCAGGTACTTCTGTGTATATTTCGCGAGCACAGCTCATGAACTGTCATGTGAGTGCTGGGACCAGACACAAGGTGCTGCTGAGGAGGCTGCTGGCTGCCTTCTTTGACAGGTTTTTTTTTTCTACCTCTTTAGGTCTATTTCTGCATGTGTTTCATCCTGAGATAGAAGTTTTAATTTAGCAAAATAAAGTTTATTTTTGTGCCTGCTTCTGAAGAATAAAAAAAAAACTATTTCTGCTTTCCTCTGTTCCGTGCAACTCATTTCCATTTTCGGTGCATCAGGAATACTCTGGCCAACAGCTGCGGAACGGGGATCCGGTCATCCACCAACGACCCGAGCCGCAAGCCCCTGGACAACAGAGTGCTCCATGCTGTCAAATGTGAGCACGTTTCCACTGCCAGACTTTTAAAAGTTGTTCAATGGACCAATTCTTACTGTAGGCCCTGTCACACTAGACAACTTATGCCAACTTACAAAACATTTTTATGTCTAAATTGCTAATAAAAGTTATATATTTGATCAATTTGTTCAAATCACATTATGTACACACCAAAAAGAAGCTTCCTGTTGATTTTTTCAATTCCATCTTAAATGTAGATGTCTTTAAAATGTTCATAAGTTGGCATAAGTTGTCTAGTGTGACAGGGCCATAATACTGTAACAAATGATTATTCATTCCCATGTTTAATATAGATAGTATTGGTCTACAGTCAATACACACCATRTGACCAAACACAGTGTAAAACCAGTCCTGAAAAACACTTTGTGTACACTTTGTCCATACTTGTATACCTCCACAGTAGGGTTGAGCAATATTGGCAGAAAAATTTATTACGATTAGTTGTGGCATTTAGCCAATACAGATTAATGTGACAATTACTGGCTAATAAGTGCACTTGCATGTAGCCAATTTTGTGGCCTCGGTCCACATTTTTTGGCTTTCCTCATTCTCCAGTTTATGTCCATGTTTCAGGTGTATCGGGGTCTTTTTTTTCTCTTGACCTACCCCGCTCTGTGATGGCCATTTTTTTTGGGGGGGGGGGTTCAGTTAGGGGTGGACTGTCTGGTGG